ACTCAAAGAAGCCATCCCACTCTCTCCCTGTGCTGGCATCAGGGTGTGCCTGTGACAGTGAGCTGGGTCAGGAAGCCTCTCCCCTCCTGCTGTGCTGGTAGGAAGCAGGGCCCAGCAGCACCAGCCTGGGACCACGGTGGCTTAAACTCCTGATGGAAGCACAGCAGTGAGACACGTACTGGGTGATCCTTCCCTGGAAGGACTTTACCTCCACCACCAGTTTGGGGGTTTCCTCAGTTAGTGGTGGCACCACAACCATTCAGCGTGATGGATCAATGCAGTTACATCTTTGATGCTGCATAGCAGAGCTAACCACAATGGTAATTTATGATTTTGAAAAGGCAGCCCATAACAAAAATAAACATTAAGTATTGTTTTAGTATGCTATTATTTCAATGACCTTTCAGCTCTGTTTCAAAACTTCCAGGTTTATCAGCAACTGGCAATTACATGCTTTTCATTAACCCTGCAGTTTACTAACATGGAGCACCACAGAGAGAATTTCAAGACATTCTCTCAGCTTATATAAACTTTAAACTCAAAGTGACTCTGGTGAGTGAAATTGAATGTAACTGTGCTCCTGCATCTGCACTTCCTTCATGAGAATACCTATTAGAACTTAACTTCAGAGGCACCTCTGCTCTATTTACTGTATCAGCTAACGTTGCACATCATAACTTTCTCATCAAAATATATATTGCTTATCAAAACCTATGTTTATATACAGATATCCATTTCATACACATGATGATGTAATAGAAAAACCTTTTTCTGGCAAGATACTATGTTTTAGGACTACACACAGCACTACCCAAACCTCAGGTCAGCATTACCTTCTCTGCACATGAGAACACTTTCAGTCTCCCCCTGATCAGCACTCTAACCAGTGCATACATCAGGCTCCTTTGGAAAGAAAGAAAGCGTTTTTCTTTTCTTCTGTAAAGTTTTGCAAATCATGGTGCCTCATGTATTCCCCATCCTGGTCTTGCACTTCTAAAAATTCAGGGCAGTTTCCCTCAACTGACGCAGGCCACCTCCACAGTGGTCCCAGCTTCCTGCACTACAAACTAGCGAGCCCTGAACAAGAGTGCTCCCTGTCACACCTGATACCCACTGATGGAGCTAAACACCTATGCACTTCCACTTCTTGGAGCACCTTCCATAGAAAAGCAGGGAAATGCCCCTAGAGTACACCTCTGCCAACAGCACTGCCTGGTTTTACCTCCACAGGGCTCAGCTTGTCAGCTTTTGTCAGACCTAAGCCTGGTGCCCTGGGCCCTAGATCAAGCCACAGCAGGGTCACACAGCACTTGTTCAGCTCACGTGGTGCCAGTCTGGGGACAGCAGCACGCGGCTTGCCAATTTCAAGGCACATTTTTATTCATTTCCTCACTAATTCTTAAAAGCTGTTCTTCAAAATCATCGAGATTCACAAGCAGTTTTCAAAGACTTGGCGAGGGAAAGGGCAAGAATTCTTGCATTCCTCCTGCAGCAGAGCTCCTCGTGGCCAGGCAGGAGGGAATGACTTTGTCAGCAGAGGAACCCTGATGGGTTGATCTCAGCATCCTTTGTCAGGGCTCCATGTGCTTGCATCAAGAAAGGGTGGACTACAGTGGGAGGTGCTGCTCCTGCTCCCTCCCATGGCCTTGCACGAGCTGGGGGGATACACCTTGGCTTTTATCTTCTAATGCAGCACTAGTATAAACTGATGTAAATAAATGAGATTATGCTGTGTCTTTTTAAGAAGCTTATGTCTTTCACGAATTTCTGAGGTTTTTTACAGTACGAAAGTCGAATTCCTTTATACAATTGTCAGGTCAGGTCGATTTAAAAATTTCCTTGCAAAAAGTCTGACTACTAATTTACTTACTGTTTACATTGCTCTGTGAAAGCCTACAGACATAATGGCCTGGCTGGAAACAACAAAAAATACATAAATGAATATACATGCATGTATTTGTCATTAGGAACTAGTTACATCCAAGTGCCACTCTAACCTGCCTGTGATTATTAAAATATCTTCTAGGACCTCATCTGTCCTTAGGATAGAAAATTTCTTGCCTTTCTACTTTTTATTTAGGGGGATTCCTGTTTCATGGCTCCAAGATGCAAATGTGGATCACACAGGACCAAAACAAGACTGCCATTAGAGGGTAAGTCCTTACAGGCGTTTCACTATAAGGAACATACGCTGAATTTCTGAGCAGGATATTCGAGGGAGACTTAAAGCAGAAAAAAAGGATGTTATGAATTGCTGACAAACACTTTACTATAACTGTAATCTGAATTCTAACATCTAACAAGATTTTTTTCTTGGAATTATGTCTCTGCTTCCATTTGTCTTTCTCTGAGCATCCCTTCAAAAACACACAGGAAAGAGACACAGCAGTAGAAAACGCAAATTAAAGTAGTGGTGCCAAACAGCTGAGCCGGCACACGCAGAGATCAACAACCACTGCCATTCCCACCGACGCCAAATCCACCGGTAAAACCTCTGATGTGCAACACCAGTGCAGAACCTGCAACAGCACCACACGCAGTACAAGGCTACCACGGCTTTCCAGTGGCAGCTCTGGCCACCCTCATGCAGGACACAACGGCCCTGTGAATGAGGAAGCCATTTCCCTGCCCTCCAGCACCGAGTGCAGCCCACAGGCGCCACGGGAGGGACTGGGGAAGGAGAGGGATGAGCACGGCCATCTTCTCCGCTCCTCCTCGACAGGCTCCTGTGAGATAACCAAATGTGTCTCGCCAGAGAGGCATCACGGCAGTGGTGAGTCAAAGGCGCTGGTCCTGGAAGGGATACACCTCCAAAATCAACATCCAGTGCTTCCCAGCTGACAGGGCAGGGCTGTGCTGGGGAAGGAGGACGGGCTCCGCCGAAAGGACCAGCTGCTACAGGGACACACCACGGCTGTGAATCTTCCATTAAACTTTGCAAGACACTTGATAGATTCTAATGTAATTTTAGTAAAACACTGTGAAAAACACTATGATCGGTTATTATCTGCTCATACACCCACAGCGCTGGAGGAGGGGGTTGTTAAAAAAAAAAAGAGAAATAAAAATTGCAGGAGTCCCTCACACCAATACATCAGGCAACTAGAACTGAACACGTCTCAACCACTTTTGTGAACACCCATTTGCACATACAAGGATCTCGCACTAATTTGCAGGTTCTCACCGGGAATAATAAAAATCTGGCTTCAAGTATAGCCTAACTGCAGGAGGCACAGCAAGCAGCAGCAGTTACAAACATTAGTTGTATAATCACACGACATACTGTGCAGTTTACCTATTTTGACCTTGAGATGGCAGAGAGAAAAGGTAGCAAGGCAAATACTGTATGGTCCAACTACTACAACACAGAACTGAAAGTGAGAACAGAGATTGAACAATTAATAGATTCTCCTTCTGGCCCTGCATCTGCTGCTAATGCTGCTGTGCCTCATTTACTGTGCTGCTTAAACACGTTAAGGCAGAGCAGAGGGAAGAAGAGGCAACTCCATGCTTGGGTTATAAAAATGACTGAAGGAAAATAAAAAAAAAGAGAATATGGAGTTTGCATGACAACAAGTCAATAATGATGGAGCAGAGGGGAAGGAAAAATGCAACAGAGTATCTAAAATGAGGATGAAAAAAAATGAGAGTGAGAAGGAATCACAGTTGGGGCCAATGACTTTTTTTTATTATTTTAAAGAAGTGTGACCAAAGGACAAAATTTTACATGCAGTTATTTTCCTGAAGACTCTGTCAGCAGAACTTCTGCCAGTTGATGTCACTGCCTTAGCCAATGCACTGCATTCTACAGCTGAGGCCTGTGTTTGTGAGCTTGAGCCTTCTCCAGTTCCTCTCATCTCTAGGATGACCACGTGGCTATTAGGCAGAGCTACAGTTTACTCATATTACAATTAAACTACAGGAAAGCATGTAAGCATGCAAGGGAAGTGATGGTCTAGCTGCTACATAACTGCAGCCACAGAACAAGACACAAAAAACCCCCACGAGTCCAAACTTGTTGTGCCATCAACCACGTTTCACGTATTTAGATGCATGCAAATAGGTTTAAATCATATTCACACACACCACCCTTGCTGTCTCTGGATGCACGAAACCTGAAAGACCACAAGCTACACAAAATGAACAGAAAACTACCCGAAGGAGAGTTTATCCTGCTGCCTGGATGGTAAGTGAAAGGCAGCAATCCTGCAGTGAGGGAACCGAAAGGCAGAGCCAAGACAGGCACCATTTGCTCTCGGAGCTCTCTGTGTGCACCCCAGAGACTTCAGACAGCTCAAAGGCCCATCTGCAAACAAACTCTGACATGATACAACGGACAGGGAACACTGCCTCCAAAACTGTGCAAACCTGAGTTCTGTACATCTCAGGTCTGCAGGGTCTAAGGTCTGTCCTGGTTAAGTCTGGCTTTTCCCAGCACTGGATACACCAGACCAGGGCTGCAGCTCAGGAGGTGCCCATTTCTATCACACACAGCTCTCTGGACAGGACACGCACCAGCAAGGAAGCAGACGGAGGGGAAAAACATATCTGTAGGTACTTACATGCAAGATGGAAATTAACTGCACTTTAGGCATACTTTAAAAAAAAAAAAAAACATAGAATAACCCTGTGTGACACACTGTTCCCGAAAATCATTCACCTTAGTCACAAAATACTTTGTACTATAGCATTTAACACCTCTAGCAAACAGTTGCTGCAATCAGATTCTTTGTTAGTAACAACTCGGTTATCCAGTTACAGCATTTATCAGTACAAAGCTAATTATCAGGGGTGTTTCAAGAAGAGCATACCAAACAACAAGGGAAAAAAAGCCAAATAATACTATACCTATCCTATTTTAGTTGATAAAAGAATCCGAAACAACTTAATAACCTACTCAGTGCAGAATCAAAACAATTTCAGCAAAATATTCTTCAATAAACATGGTAACTCTAATGTCAACCATACATCTTTTAATTAGCTTTTTTTTCAAGACTTACCTATGTTTTTCTAGTTCGTTGTGTGATGACCTATTAAAAAGAGAAAAGAAATATTAGAGAAAAGGATAAATAAACCAAGATTTAGAATATTTAAAAGCCAACACCTGCATAAGTCGCAAAAGAGTTCTCTAAAACATGCATTTATATGGATTATGAAACAGCTTTGCTATTAAATTGGTTCACTTTTACATCCCTTAGATACTTGAAGGTATCAACTTAATTTTCATGAGTAAACCGTGGGTTTGGGGAGGAATTACAATAAATTTGCATTTATTAGCGCTCAATACATTCAGAGACAGAAAGGAACATAAAAAAATGAGCAAGTTAGCAATAAAAACAGCCCACAAGATTTTTATCCGTGAAGAAAAATTATGAGGGGGCAGGAAGAGTTAGAAGATCTAAGTGGTAGCAGGTAAGAAGAGCAAAAAGCACCCAAAAAGCCAGCTTTCAAGCCCACAGAGCAGCAGAAAGAAAAATCAGCAGCTAATCACTGCTGTTGTTGTTGTTGACATCTTAATGGCAAAAAAGAGGAATCCTCCTAATTCTTCTGAGTCTACAAACAGAAAAAGAAACCAAAAATATCACAGTCTCTGTACTGACCACAGCAGTATGCTATCCTCTTCCAATCTACTAGGATTGGAGATTTTTTTTTTTCCCCAACCAATGCTTCAGGTTTTTTGCCATTAGAAGGTAGCCCTAAATTCTTAGAGGATTTATTTTTTTCCACTGATTCAGCTGAAAATATTAATTTTATTTATTTATACAGCTCAGATTAAAAACATTCCTAAAATGAAGTTACTGTCACCATTTCAAAACAAGCAATTTTCCAGACTTTTCAGTTTTGCCCCACTGAATGCATGCCCGGCACGTAAGGATCAAAAGATCCAGAGGCGGTGGCAGCTTTTAGGGCAGGCAGATGATGTCAGAGCAGCTCTGCTCCAGCGTTCTGCAGCCCCAGCCCCTGCAGCTGGGCACGATGTGCTGGCTGAGGGGGCTTCAAGGAAGGGTGAGAGCAAAGCCTCTTGGCTTTTTTGGAGGGGCAAGTGCACGGTCCCACCAGCAAGCAACGACATCCCAAGGGGAGAAAGCCTTCCCGCAGGAATGCTGCCCAGCGGAGAGCTGTCCTGCCTCTCCCTGCACACACACGTGCAGCTGGATGCTGCGGCTCTACCGGGGTGTTACTGATGACAAAGCATCACTCCAGCCATAGAGGGGTGGTGGGGGGAAAGAAAGCGAAGCTCAGGCAAACAAACACCCAAGTGAACAAACCCACAAGCCATTTATCTCAGGCCAGTGCAGCTCCTGATCCTGCAAGCGCTTCAGTGAACTGCCCCTCTGCAGGTAAAACTGAAATGCTTACAAGGCTCAGCACTGATGCTAATCCACTCTCACCAAAAAGCATCCCAGTGTTGGTACCGAGACACCAATTACGTCACTCACTATCTGCTGTCTTTTTCTGAAAGGCCTAGGAATTCTCTACGTAATTTTTTTTAAACTTGTTGCATCAAGTGAGCCACAATCAGGTAATGTGTGATAGTATTCCTAAGTGCTGTTGACCAGTGCAGCAACACTGAAAGTGTTTTACACATAATCAGCGCTACATAAATATGGCAGGGTGGGCTTGGTTTGCTGTGTTTTACTGCCCTTGCCATTTGACTACAATAAGGGGAAACTGGTTTTTATTTTCTACAACACATCTACAGAGAAAGAGATCAAACTTTTTCTCTACCCCAATATTTACAAAAATTGACAAACACTACACCAAATCCACCAATGTTTATGAAAATACGTGGGAAACAGAAGTTCAGGAGGGTACTGTTGTCCCCAAACACCCTCACTGGGCCTGTCAAGGGCACAAAGACACTGTTTGCAGGGAACTCTGGAAGAGAGAGGAAATACAGGCTGGTATGGATTCATCCCTGCAGCATGAACTCCTTGACATTTCTGGCAATTAGACACGAAGATGAACACAATCACTGTAACTGGCCCATTCCAAGCTCCCTGCTGTAGCAGAGCTCACAGCAGCTCCGGTGAGCATGCACAGGGACAGCACCAGAACCACTGGCCAAGAAATTCAGCCTGCACTGAGTGTTTTGCTGGGTTAAGAGAGGATGCAGTGATTAGCTGGAAGTCCTGCATGCAGCACACCCACAGGGCACCTCTGTTGGGCAAAGGGTGTTCTCCTGTCGGTTGTGCCAGCCACCAGACGGAGCAGTGGTGGGTGTGTGCCTCTTTGCAGAGCTCTTTGGGACATAAAAGACTGCAGTGTGCAAACGTGGGCACCAGCCACACATTTCAGGAGGTGTGGGGGGGGCTGACTAACACCTCAACCATCAGTTCCTATGCAGGAACCAAAACCGAGAGTCCTGACATTTACCTGGGAGTTGCTCCATCTACACAAGTTAAATGCCCAATTACAAGCATGATGGGGGTTTTTTGTTGTTGGGTTTGTTTACAGAAGAGGTGAACCTCTCTCTAAATATTGTTTTTTATCTCCTTCACTGTCTACAGTACCAAATATTGCAAGAATATCCATCTCCTTCTGCTATTCATGCAACCTTAAGTGAGGGGAAAAAAACATAAGAACTGGTCTGCACACAACCCAGTACCCACCGTACCCTGTTTCAAAATGGAGTCTTTTATTACTTCAGTAAAAGATGTAGGCCACGGCTAAGAAGATGTATCTATATGTGTATTTATATAAAAGAGACAGATGTATGACTGTTTTTCAGACAAATGGTCTGTGAAGTCCTTAAAAAAAAGGCTGAAAGAGAAAGAAGATTTCTGGTGTTTAGCTTAGGTTCACTTGGCAGAGTTGGAAGTAGAAGTGATGAAAAGGTGACAATGAAAAGGTGACAATAAAAAGTTCAGATTAAAAAATGGAAAAAGACAATTAAAAAAATCATCAGCAAAATCACAGATCAGGAACACTGCTGCTTAAACTACATCATTAACCGGAGACAGCCCTGATATTCCTTTAGCAAATGCTGAGCAGTTCACTGGATATGAAAGAGCAGTTAAATTTTCTTTGTGAAGAAACTGGCCAAAGAAGATTTGGAAGAACAAAGAGGAGCCAAGTAAATGCAGATGTTGGTCTGCAAGATGCTTTACCACTTCCAATAGCACATCCCCAGAGCCATTGCCCTCCACCATCCTTTCTCCAAACAAGAATTCAAGGTATTGCATTTGAGAATTCCGCTGATTCAGCAGACTCACCTAAGTACTTCAGACAGGTGCTAACTGAGATGGTGAGACTAAACCAGAAGAGGCAAGAGCCCCTCCAAGTCCACTTTCTGCCAGTTGATGGGCGAGCCAGCAGGAGCTGCTCACGTGCATAGGAGGTTGAGATTTCCCTCTATGCACGATGTGCAGCCTTAAGTATATTTAAGTTTTCAGTATTAACACACCTTCCCTACTCCTCCCTCTATTTACCTCACCAGACAGGGCATCTTGTCAGTGGGAAACCAGCACAGCTCCTGACAAAAGCGGTGAACTGCTGAAGTTTATTGCCCAGTGTTAAGGTCTAGACCGTGAGTCACCAATACACTACCAGTTGCCAACACATTTTAAAGCACTATAGGGAGTAAAGCAGGCTGGTTAACGAAGTGCTTAAAACAGTGGCAAGCATCTTACCCGTGCCAGGGCTTTCTAGTACAGGCAGGGCTGCCAGGGTGTTATACAACCCATGTGCAGAGGACACAACTCCACCTAAGGTCACACAGCCGTGTGCAAACCACACTGCCTGCACTTCACCTTCTGTCCAGGCCAAAAGAGTAAGAACAAACAGAGCAAGAAGTTTTACAAGGTGCTACACGTTAAGTGTCTACATCCAGTTCCCACTCCCAAAAGAGCAGGTGTGTAAAAGCACGAGGCTTACCCCTTCAGTCCTCTGTGAATGCGACTGCTACGCAGCTTTTCGTCCGAAGGATCAAGATTCGCTTCCAGGAAATTCTCTGTATACACTTATAACCTGCTGTGGGATGCACTTGAAAATATTACAGCTCACCACCCAAAGCACCAGATGAACCTGCACATAAGCACATGGCCTGTTTTTTTCCATTTGTTTCAAACTGGACACATTGCTCACAGCCTGTCAAAGAGCGCACCTGTATGGAATGAATCCACTAAAAATTAATTTTGCATTCTCCTCATAGCAAAATTTAACCGGTTCTGCAGATTCAGCTGGGGTCGGGGAACCAGGCATACTGGCACAGCCTCGATGCAGAGTTCTGGCTCCAGCACCTTATTCAAGTTTGTGCTGCCACATGTTTGCAGTGGCCAGGTCCGAACGTGCTTCTAAGACGGTGGCAATTTGTTTCCCTCAATTGCAGGAGCAGCGCAGCTCCCAAACATTGCAGACCTACTGCAGTTCCTCAGGGGCGACAGGCCTGTTGGTGAGATCTATTTCATTGGGACTAAAATGCCTCAGTTTTAAAACCACGCTCGGTGACATCAGTTGCTGTCCCTGTGCTGCCAGCTTTAAGAAAGCAAACCCAGAAGGATCCATCGAATTCAGAAATCCAGGCAAAAAAAAAAAAAATCAGAGGAGCTGTGCCTGCACAGTCTGCTTTGCAGTGTTTTATTCTTGGCCTCCACAAAAAAAAAAAAAAATTTAAGGAAAAATAAAATAAAAACCAGGCTGCAATTCCTAAGCTGCTCTGTGTGGGCACAGAACAACATCTGCAGAGAGCAAGGGGCTCGTTTCGCGGGCCACAGGTTCACCCTCACCATGAGCCAACAGCAACAGAGGAATTCGGACATTAAGCTCTGTTTTTCTTTGAAAGACCAAATGCAGCTTTCATCTTTTTCTACATATAACCCTTCACCAAAACACAACACAAAGTACAAGTCTATTTATATAACATATGAAGAAAAATATTAATTGACACAGAAGATATATTTATTAACCGGCGTTTATTTTGCTCCCTGTCCCTCAATAAACCAGCTCCTAAATTAACAGGCCAAACACACTGCACCACTGACATCCAGTTCCTTTCTCTGCAAGTAAATTTAACCGTGACCTCAGTAGACTGGCATCCAACACTAAGATTTTAGTTTTCATTTTACCTTATTTCTGACCCTTTCACGGCAAAGCAGCTGCCCGAGCTCCCCTGTGCATGGGCACACAGGCACCTCACACCCCCATGCAGCTCAAGGTACCCCACACCTGGTGAGTGTCGTTACAGACAGGGCAGAAGCAGCCCAATTATCTGCAGCCTTGCGTGTTTCTCTGTCAGAGTGCCCTGCCTTGAGAGCAAACGTCACCAAATTTCAGATTTGTGTCGCATTCCTCCTCGGCACATCACGCACGTGTAACCTATCCATTTCCTTGGAACAAACAGTGAGTTTGACTTTAGAATATTTGTTATTCACTAAATCCAGCTGTTTGTTTGATGCCTTTTTTCAATTTCAACTACACCTTACGAAGAATTATTAAACGGCATGCCACTGCTTTAGGAATCACATACAGCTACTGCTCTGTGAAGAGCAGACATTTATTATACAGGAGTCAAGTACCTGATAAGTATTATTGTAACAAGAAGATGTGACCTAGGTTTACCTCCCTGCAAAAAAATAATATTGTGGCTTTCTCTAATCTCCTGTCCTCTTCACAAAACAAGAATCCAGTTTCATTTGCCAGAGGATTTTGGTCAAAATTACTGGGGGGAAACAAGTCTGAATCTCAGCTGAGGACGCAGCACAAATGGCAAGCCAGAGAGAAAACAAAGCAGTTTGGTTTGTGTGACATGGGAAAGGGCACATCACAGGAAACTGAGAAGAAAACACATAACATCAACTATTTTAATGTACAAGTGAAAAAGAAATGGCCAAAAATTGTGTCTGATTGCTACCAATAACCCCCCGAGAATATTTTTTATCAACAAACTGCTAACACCTGTTTTCAATTTTCATTTAAAGCTAGCAGTGGACAAAGCAAAAATGTTAAATTCCTACGGTGAACAGAAGGCTTACAGATTTTGGTTAATTAAATGTAATTCTGCGGGTGTTTTTCCCTGCATGAATCCAGACCTGTCAAAATTACTTCTCACTTAATGACAGCCAAAAGGTGAGCAAGCTTTTAGCCAAGACCTGAGCATCCTGTCCAAAGGACAGGCAGCCTTCCTCCCCCTTCTCCTGTGGGTCTGGGCCTTGCCAACCATTGACAGGGGACAGAGGTCTCATATGATTTCTTATAGGAACATCACCACCTCCTCAGCAGAGGAAGGTGGTGTCGATCCGTGCCCGTGCAGAACAACAGGGCAGCTGGAATCCATCCGAGCCTGTCCCCCTGCCCACGGGGGCTGCCCAGCACACCTGTGCTACCTGGGGTACATTTTTCTCCCCACAGGCAGGCACCATGTTTTGCAATATAAAGAAAATACAGAACAAAGAAGAAGGGTACAGCACACCAGTCTTCCTCACATCTGACAATTCTTCTCCTCCTTCCCTCTTTTCTGATTTTCCAGCAATGAGGAGGATGTTTTTCATGCTTTTATACACGTAAAGCTCATAAAGCATGAAAAAAATATATACACATATATACGTGTATCTCACTTTTTAATCTGATCAGATGCTGCAAGCAGCAGGATACAAAAATAGGCGATGAAAACAACAATGCCCCTGCAGATTTGAAATGTGCAGTTATCTGCTCCTTTCCTACTCCTCCAAGCTTAAGTATATATTTTTCTATCCAGAAAAATAATGCAATCATAAGGCATGAATTTCAGGCATGTATGCAGTCATACCTGCCTGCCTCTGATGCTCCGAACCCAGCACTTCTGCAAAATGGTTGAAGGGGAACAATATGGACAAACACTTTGTCCAGTGGTTCACATCATCCACGACCACTCCAGATCCTATGAACTTTAGGCAGTCATCTCCCTCTGTTAATCTTTGAATTGCTTAGGAAGAATTAACTATCTTATCAAAAATTCAGACTCTAGTCTGGGGCTTGGCCCCTATAGCCTCTAAGCTACAAGTAATAATAAAATAGTGATGCTGGTGCACCTCATGGATTTTCTGTATGTTCAAATGTAAGGGTAATTTCTCACCCATAAATCTAAGCACACAGGCAGCGACTGCTGGACACAGGCACAGAGCCTATAAGGACAATGCAGAGGTGCCCACAGGGCCCTGCTGCTGCTGCCCTGTCCCTGAAGGAACGGGGAGCTGCATTAAAGCAAATGTGCCCCTGCTTCCCATGTCAGTGTCCATGCTGAACCAGGTCAACCACTGCCCCAGTGGTGACCACGCTGGAAACCATTCCTCGACAAGGATCCTCCTGCCCTGTAACACAGACAACCCATTCCTCACCTAACCACTGCAGCTAGAAGAAAAGAAAGTGTAAGTAAACATCCTGCTGCACACTGCAGGATGGCATTTCTGAAGGTTGCCACTGCTACCGAGTGAGAATCAGAGTGAAACACTGAACAAGTAAATAAACATAAGTCTGCAGCTAGAAAAAAAAAGCAGGAGGGTAACTGCAAGTGGATGTGTCTGCCTCAGCTTTAATAACACCAGCAAATCTGTAACCAAAAATCTTTTAATTCTGCTGTATTTGATAGATTACAAATCCTCTCCTAAAAACTCCTGAAAGCAGCTTACAGTTCAGACAAATAACTATTTTACAGTGGATGACAAGAGCTCTAAGAACGGAAAACGATGGAATAATAGCTCTGTAAGTAACACAGATTTCTTGAATGCAAGAGATAGGCAAGAAATCCGTACAAATCAAGGAGCAGTTTACAGCTATAAATCCTATGAAACCTTTTTTGAATTTTTTTTAAAGGCAGCGAGCATACTTTATAAGAAAATATTAAAAATCTGCAGGAGCGAAGTGTCTCAGGACACAAGACACGCCTCCCACTCCTGATGACTTTCTTTTTCAAAATGCACTGACGTCTTCTCTGTGCTCCAAGATGAGACAAAGAATCCAACTAAAACTGAAAAAAGTAGGAGTACTGCAATCAATACCCCCCAAAATGGTTGCCTTTCTCAGAGCAGGGGCACGGGGGAACGATTTGCTCCCCCTCAGTTTATCCTCAAGACACACTGCTCGGCCCCGGCAGGCACGAACGGGACGCTCACCAGCTCGTGTTTTTCTCGAGGAGGGAGCTCGTCAGCTTTTGATTTCCTTTTGCACCTCCGGTGCCCCACGAGCAGCTCCTGGCCATCTGCCCAGCACCTCCCCAGCACCACCCGACCCGGCTACCCCGCCGCTGCGCAGGATGCCCGCCGGAGCAGCGAGAGCCGAGCGGGCCTGCCGAGACTCTCTGCTCCTTTGGAAAACAAGTCACGTGCAAGCCAAGTTCATTTTAGGCTATTCTACAGGAGCCACCATCCAGCATGACCATGCAGAGCGGAGCCTGCGCTGGGGCAGAGCATCGCTGCTCCGGGACGAAGCAGGCCCAAGCTGGGCACGGTCCTCGGTCCTCTCCGGAGCAGCCCTGGAAGAGCAAAGCAGAGCAGGCAGAGCACGGGGCTGGGTTCGCTCCAGGCAGGGGCCGGCAGTGTCCCTGTGAGACAGGGGAAGCCTCCTGCACGTACACAGCCGCTGCCCAAGCAGCAAACAAAGCTGCAGAGCCTGCGCACAGCAGCGCTCGGCCCCTGCCATCGCAGCGCAGGTAGCGGCGGCAGCGGGGGAACAAGAGACCCTCCGGGAGCGATGGCCGGGAACGGGGAGCGGCCGAGCCGTGCGCTGTGCCGGGTCCGCATGCGGCGGGCGGGCAGCGGGGGCTGGCGAGCCGGCGGTGCGGCAGAACGCACCGGGAGGTCAGGCTCGCCCCGGCACCTCCGCACCTCGGGCCGGCAGGATAAGTTGGAGTTTGCGGTGGGTGCCCCCCCGCCGCCCCGCACACGCCGCTCCCCCGCCCGCAGCCCAGCGCCGCCGCAACCGGAGGCTGCATCTGCTCGGGCTGCGAGGGGTGGGGGGGGGAGGAGGGAGGCGGCCGGATCGTTGCCTGTGGTTTATAAATAAATGCCGGGGGGCGGGGGGTGGAAATTAGTGCCATGCAAAGAGAAATCTGGGTGGCGATGATGGTGTTTGGGTCTGCAGCGAAAGCCGCTGTCGGTGAGCGCGGAGCAGAAGGAGCGATGAGGGCGGATGGCTCAGAAGTGCAGTGAGTACTAAGGAGATGGTGTACGCGTGGCAGTGTTTATATGAGAGATCAAAACAGAGCCAAGCCCATCCAGGGGAAAAATGGCGACTACCGGGATGGGGAAAACTGAGACACTGGATTAGTTATTATTTTTCATAAATGTATGCACTGCACATAAGCTAGACACATTGGAAAAGCTGCCGATTCATTCTGAAAAAGCGGTGCGTCTATTACCTGTTATTCTGGGATTTTCTGGCCATGGTGCCTGCCTTTGTTTTCTTTCTGGAATAGTCACTATCGAAGGGTAACACTGATGCATAGCCATGTTCTGCTTCTAGGGACAAAGTCAGCATTAGTGGCAATATATTTTTTCCATGCAATTTTTTCCTCCTTTGCAGGAACGCTAGGGTAAAGAACAGAATTTTTTCCGGTTGATTTGTTTGCATTTTATTCTGGCATCTCTTAAAGACGCGAGACACACACAAAAAAACATAACTCGGTAAACCAAAAGGGGGGGTAAAAAAACAAACCAAACCAAAAAACCACCACCGAAGTGCCGAAATTAGGAGGATTACTGGAGTGCACACTAAAAAACGAGGCGGATCATGCAAACCCTTGTCACGCTGCGCTGGGGGAGGGGAGCTGCCATACAATCACCGACTGCCACACACGGAGCAGCGAGAGGGATCCTGAGCGCTGCACACGCACCGTCCCCATCCAGGGCGGCACACAACACCCGTCCCTGGTTTGTTTGGGGGATCATAGATATATATATATATAAAAAACAAGCCAGGCTCCGAGCAGCGGTGCTCCCCCAGCGCGGTGCCGCCGCCGCAGCCCGGGTCCCCCCCGGGCAGGTGCGGGCGCGGGGCCGCTGCCCCGGCCCGGCCGCCGCACAACAAAGGCCGAGAGCGGCGGGGAGCGCCTGCGGGTGCCTGACCGACTGCCCGCCTGCGCCCTGTACCTCGGTCTCTCCGCTCCAGGTACTCGGCCGCTTCCAGGAGGATTAACAGGGAGTTCAATTCCATGGCTGCCCGTCCCGAGCCCCCCGCGCCGAGTTCACGCGCGGGGACTCCCGAGCCCCCGGTTTTAAGGCACCTCGCTCAACCTACATTTGACACACGGCCGACGGGCAGCCCGCGCGGCCAATCGGAGGCCGCGGACGGGCGCGGGGGCGGGACGCGAGGGGGTGGCCGCGCCAATCGGCGTGCAGAGCGCCCCCCCGGCGGGGCAGGGGATGTTGACAGATCCCCGCCGCCCGCGCCCATTGGCCGCCCGTGTAGTAACAATTTAGAAGCCGAAGCTTAGCAACAGCACGTGGTGGCCCGGCCCCCGCGCCCGCTGATTGGCCGCCTGCTCGCATGTAAAGCAGGCGGCGGCCGCCCATTGGCGGCTGGAGCGTCATGCAAATGAAGGGCGGGGAAGGAGCCAATGGGGCGGGAGGCGCGTGCCGCGCGGCGGGGGGGGCGGGGAGCGGGGCGGGGGCAGCCAATGGGCGGGCGGGGGGCGTGGCGTTGCCGTGAGGAAGAGGCAGGCGGAGGGGCGGGGCCCGGGCGAGGCTCCGCCCTTCCCCTCACGCGGCGCCGTGAGGGGACACGGCGGGGCGGGAGCGGACCGGGAAAGGGGGAAAGAGGGACCGGGGAGGGGGTGGAGGAGTGATGGGAAGTACGGCAAGAAATAAGTCGGAACGGAAAAGACGATACAAATGGGATGCGCAGAGACGCTGTAAAAAAAAAAAAACAAAAAAAACCCGCGTCCGGCACGTGCACCCGTGACCCCCCTCACAGTGCGCGGGCGGGAGAGGAAGACGAGCGGTGCTGCGAAAACGCGCACGGAGGTTTTAAAGGAGTTGCTGAGCGCTACGCAACAGTCCGGCCTGCTGGGAAAAAAAAAAAAAAAGGAGCAGTGGGAAGCTCTCAGAAATGCGGGCAGAGTCACTGCCGGCTCTCCAGCCCTTGCCAGCACATGGAGCTGCCTATCGTCATCTGGGTACACAGAATCCGTCTACCAGAATAGCCCGGCTCCTGGCGCGCAGGCTGAGCAGGAAGGAGCCCGGCACCTTTCCTGTCCACACCACCCTGTTCGCGCCGCTAGCTCTGCATCCTTATCTCAGATGGCTCCTGCACAGCTGCTGCCTGAAACTGGCTGGTTTTAACACGAGCAACTAGTTTTAAAATAGGCGTATTTTAAGCTGTTCTGTGATCACACGTTGGTACATCTTCAGGCCAGAAGTGCCGAAGCATGTAATCAGCCCTCCGGCAGGATAGCACTTAGGCACACAAGTGGTCCCGTTGGTTTTAATTGAGCTGTTTGGGTAAGAGCTACTCAGCATATAGGAGGGATGCAGAATATTGTCCTGTGTGTTTATTCCTTGGCAAAAGATGTCAGCCAGTTTCCTTTTAAGAGGATAACAGCGATTCAGATTAAAACAAGGATTATGCTTTACTGGTTTTGCAGCACTGAGGTAAAGCCGCATATACATTACACCTGATTTTGTATTAAATCTGTATCTTGTTCCCTCGGATGCACAACTGTAATGCGGCTCTTGAACACTGCTGAACCACAGATCACATTTTACTGCCATTTAGTCCAGGCAAGAGGGATAAGAGAAAATACAAGGCAGCTAAGAAAGCAGCATTGTGATTGTAATTTAAGAGAATTTTAGATCTGTTTGGAAAAAGTCTGACTATGTGAATTACAAGGTGGAAGGGAATTTGGTTGTGTAGATTGCAAAGGTAAAAAAGAAATTGCTGCAATGTTTTGCACTTGCCACTTGAACTGTTGAAATTCTGCTGCATATGGGTGAGACAGTGCAGTTTTTACTGTAAACCCATTGAAACCTATGGCAGTTTTGCTGTTAACTGGAAGTAGGTTTAGACACTATTTGACATTGCCTTCTGTTGCGAAACAGCATGAAACCATATATGCATAGGTCTGTGTTGTCCACACAGGAAAGAAAGTTCCCTTTGCCTGACCACATGCATAGGGCGCTTAGTGAAAAAGATGCAAAAAGGTATAGATAAGGCACCGTTGTTCTCTTCCACAGCCACAGCAATCCAGCAGGACCTCAGATCTTCAGGACAACTATATTTCTTTGTATACTTGTCTAAGTGTATCCTAAACTGTTTTGTACATGTGCTGTGGAATCAGTCACACGTCCATAACGGAAGATGAATGTGCTGGGTATATAAATGCACCTCAGCAAAAGTGGTATATGTATGTATGAAAGCCCAAGATCCAGGTGTGGATTTACTGAGGCTCTGAAGGCCTGAAGCTTCTCGTGCTCTTCCCCACCACACTCTGAGCACACACCATTTGCCTCTGGAAACACACAGGAGTCCAAAGAAGCACAGCACTGCACAGGGCAGTGCTTCAGGAGGGTGCATGGCCCGTGCTGAGCACCCCACTGGCCATTGGTGACAATGAGCAATCACCAAACACTCCTCAGAGCTCTTGACTGCTGGACTGAAGCTGCCTCAGCCTCCCCTGCACTCCGCTGGGACCCAAACCCAGCACCTCTAACCACTCCCGGGGTAAAAACCATCAGACTCAATGTGATTGCTCTCTCTGGTGTTCAATATGGGCAGAAGTATTTTGAAGACAGTTGTTTTAAGGTCATTGAGCACAATTTCACATTGATACCGTTACTTTCCAGGGCCCTGTCCTTCTACCCTTCCCTGCATAGAAAGGCTGCTTTGGGAAGAGAGGAGCCACTGGAGCCAGCTGGACTATGCATGAGTGAGTGTCATGCAGTGGTGCTGAGCACTGCAAAATGGGGACCAGTGCAATCACAGAAGGCAGCTGATCTCTGTTCATGGTGGCTCTTGTTCCCAGGAGTCATAAACTGTTTTACTTTGCTTGAACTGTAAGAATCTGTGTAAACACACACATCCCCCCCCCACCCCCAAACCCACAGAGCCCCTGCTGATGAAATCCAGAGTAAACCCACATGCATTTGGGAAGGGCTGGCTCATTCCAAACAAGCAGTGACACACATTGACCTGTAGGTGCATCTCCCAGGGAATGAACTCAACTGAGTCCATCTCAGGAGACACTATTAAAAACTTTTAAAAAACCTAGAAGGAATCATTCTGGATGTGGTTTTATTTGTGCCAGGGAACCAGGACTAGCTTTGGTGGTGTCAGCATGGGTGCAGAGGTGTAAAATGTGTGTGAAAGAAGATCAACCGAATTACTTTAAGATCTGAAGGACAGGCTCTAAGATACATGTGCTCGAAGGCTTTGCAGATTTGCGTCTCTAAATAGCTTTTTTCCATTTCTATGAGCAAGCAGCAGGAACAGCTGAGTGCTAAAGAAACAGCTGGCCTTCAGTGATAAGGGGTAGCTGTCACTTCATGGTGAAGTTTGAAAAACTTTATATTTAGAAGCAGAAGGGACAGCCATCAGCAGCCACACCCCAAAACCTGAACTGTTTGCGGTTTCTTTGCCTCCTGCACTTGGTGATTGGAGTGGTAGTATTTACAATTTTAAATATTACAGTGCCCTTCTTTTCCAAAATCCGTCCTGTGGCATGACATGGCATGTGAGATCAGTGACATCAGAACTGCTCACTGCCCTGAGCTGTGGTGAGGGCAGAGGTCTGAAGCTGACAATAATTCAAGCAACTTCATTCACTATTCCCCACCTACGGCCTTAAAGGAATAATTAGGCCTATGCTGCTTTTCATGTTTGACTCAATGCAGCTATTGAATGTCCCTTTTTTCTATATTTTTAAATTTCCTACTGCATCTTATCCCAGTGTCCAAAGATAAGGCCTTACACTGTGCCTTGGGGTCCATCCCCCTGTTTCCTTGGGTGTTGCAAGGTTTAATCAGCAAAGAGTTAGTTGTCTTCCCACACAGGAGGGGATTTGCACTCAGGGCTGCCAATGACAAATTTCAGCTCCCTGACTCAGCATCTCAAATCCCATTTAACTTCTCATCTTACCTGTGATTCAAATCTTGAACTTGCAGAAGCCAAAACACCTGAAAGTTGAACAGAAAGAAGTTTCAGAAGTAACAGTTCTATCAGAGCCCAAGCCCAACTGGAGACACTAATTCTATTTACTCTGCCAAGTAAAGTGGGGTTAAAGACCGTTCTCCATCCCTGATCTCAGATGGCAGGTGTCACTGCAGCTGCTTGGCCCTGCATCTCCTCTGGACTGCTACTGGTGCACATGTGGCTTTTAGTCATCACTTTATTAAACGTATGGTTTGCTTTTAGTTTGGGGTGAGTTTTTTAAGTTCGAAGTGCCTGAAGATGTGTGGCAGCCCCTTAGGGAGCTGCTTTCAGACCTTAAAGCTGAGGTTACGTGATGTGAAGGTATGTGGGGTATCGGGGTTAACAAGTTGCTGCTGCAGTATTGAGGGACTGTGTAGTGTGGCGGAGTCATGTCTGTGCAATCTCAACCCCATGTGCTTCCTGGGTTGGTCCTTGACCTGCCACACCCCTTGAACTGTAGCCAGGCATAGGCTTGGACAGTAGCTTGGTCCAGGACCACAAGAAGTACTATGGATACTGTGGGGTCCTATGGACCCAAGTGGCTCCCACACATTTGAGTTGGTGGGCTCTCTACGCGATGCTCACTAGCCCAGCTTGCTGCCTGGCCTTGACCATTTAGTTGTTTGCTGCACTGTTTGAGTCACTGGCTTTCCCAAAGCAATTGAATTTTTCCTGGTTTTGTTTGGGATTTAGGAAGGATTTATGTAATGCTATAGTACACACATGCTTAAAAGTCAAATCTAAAAAAAAAAAAAAAAGTACTTCAAACTGAATGCCAGTCCCTTGTAACATTCATTTCTTGTTAATTGCTGTTATTATGAAAGACAACATTTGTATCTTAGCGTCCTTGAGAGTTTGGCTGCAGGGACCTCGATTGCCCCTCTCCGCCAGCACTCGCGGACCAGCGAGACGTGCAGTACCCTGCCGCCAGGCCCTGCAGCCATTTCTGTGATCAGGCATGAAATTATTCTTAACTGATTGAAGTGAGGAATAGATTGAAAAGCTTGAGAGACACTGATTTGCTCCCATCATCCTTCTCTGCCTAAACCATGCCTGGCAATTTTGAATAGCATCATCCTAAAAATCCTCACTGAG